GGGTGCCTGGGGGGCCCTTATTTGAGGAGGAAGCCTTTGGGTCAGACAAGAAAGGAGCGTGCGTCCCTCCTAGCCAGGGCGTCTGGCTGTGGTCTCCCCTGTGCCTGCAGAGTGCAGAGAGGGGCGACGGGGCAGGGGCTGGCGCTGAGTGTGCCTGGGACCCGGCTCCTCCGCCCATGGGGACCATGGACACCTGGGACTCACCTGGGATTTGGGGCCTCCTCCTGGGACCAGAGGCTGTGGTCGCCCCAGCATCTTGACTGCCGCTCGAGTGTCCTGAGGGAGAGCAGCACTCTCAGCCCACAGCGGGCCTGGAGGCAGGGACCCCGCAGAACCCTGCTGGGCCGTCCGGAACTGGAGAGCCAGCCCAGTTCCCAGTGCTCCAGACTCCTGCTGGGAGCCGGCGCGGCGGGGCTGAGGTCCGAGAACGGGAGCAGTGGGTGGCGGTGTGAGACCCCGGGCCCTGGCAATGGGGCTGCGACAGCCTCCACTTCCCCTGACCGTCCGGAGGCCCAGGGACCTCAGCAGCGGTGGTCATGTGCGGCCCTGCTGTCTAGGCCGCCCCGACTTCACTGCCTGCCATCCCTGGGCCCTCCGCACGCGTCACCTGGGCTGGTTAGGGCGCAGAGGTGCAGGCCCCAACCTGCTGACTCGGTCTTCGTTCAACAAGGCCCCCGGGACTCACGTGCTCCGGGCAGTCGAAGGTGACCCCAGAAGTCACACTGCCAGCCTCACAGACGGCAGCACACCCACTGGGCAGCCTGGGGGGCAAAGGCCCTGCTAACGTGAGTGGTCTGAGGGTTCAGGGAGACGTGCACTGTGAAGACTATGTGTGCATTTAACATTTTTTGCACCAAAATAAACTGTAATTCCATTTCCCAGCTACTTTTTGGAAGGCCCCTCGAGTAAACAAGACAAGGAAATGGTCTCAAAGCGCGGCTGAGCGGGAGGAGTGCGGCCCTGTCCGGAAACCGCCCGCCGTCTCCCATCCCAGGTGGGGCTGGCAGGTGTGTGGAAAGGCTGGGTTCCCACATGCCAACTGCAGTCTAAATCCTGAGCCTGGTGGCTTGAAAATCACACTGGGTGTGTGTGCCCAGGATCCCGAGGAGAAAGGAGAGAGCGCCGCGTGGCCATCTCCCCCAGGGGTGCTTCCTCACTTTCCCTCTCTCTGCATCTCTGTCTCTCCCCTCTCTGGAAAACACTTTCCCTATGGCAAAAACTAAAAAAATAAAAAGACCCTCTTGAATCCAGCTTTTCTGTGCCCTCCATGGCTTCCAGACAGCATTCGGAAATGCCCGCTAGGACAAACTTCTTCCCGCCAGCTGGGAGCCCAGTGCGGAGTCCTGGGGGCCCCCAGGTGTGGGGGCCCGGGAGCCCGGAAGGTGCGCTGACAGGCTGGTCACGGTGGCCACCTCGGGTGGGAGGTTCCTGGGTGTGGTTCGACGTTTACATTCAAGCTCCGAATTGCAGGGCGAGGTCTTCCGACTTCAGTGCGGCTGGCGCTCCTCCCCGCGGGCGCCCCCTCTGCATCCCACCTGCCCCTGGCTTCCGCCCCTGCCCTTGCATGGGGCCTGGGACTCAGCCATGGCCTACGGCGAGGGCTGGCCTTGAGCGCGGCAGGAGCTACGCACTCTGGCCTTTCTCCCTGACTCACAGCATCTCTGATATCTGAAAGGAGGCCCTCGGTGGGTCATAACCTCTTTGTTTACATTTTCCAAAAAGTGTAAACAAAGCAAGGAAAGACCTGTGCGGGGGCCGAGACGAGGCCTCTGGGTGGGCAACACCAGGGCAGGACTTCCGCCCGCCTGGCTCTCACTTCAGGCAATAGCCAAATAGGATGGTGAACAGGCCCGCCCTGCGCCCAGTGCCTGCGGCCCCAGCCAGGGCTGGGCCGGTGTGGGGACTCGTGCCACCCACTGAGCTCTGGACCCTCAGGAGGGAGCCAAGACCCCGGGGGACGTGTGCGGAGAGCCCCAGGTGGTCTGGACGCTCAGGAGGGAGCCGAGACCTGGGGGGACATGTGCGGAGACCCCCAGGTGGCTCCAGGCTGGAGCTTCTCAGCTGTCACTGTGTCCACACCCCGCTCGGCCCAGCAGACCAGGTTAAAGTGCAGATCCTGGTTCGGGAGAGTGGAGCCGGCCGGGACTCTGCATTCCCAGCAAGCCCGCGGGGACGCTGGGGCAGCTGGGATCTCTGGGTTTAGGAGAACACGCCTTTTCATAACACCCTGTTTCCGACATACGCTAGCATTCCTGATTCCTTGTGCTCCTCGGGACCCAGGGAGGTAACCGAGGCCGGTGGCCTGACCTCCTCTCCCCTGAGGGAACAGGAAGGGCCAGTGCCCTGCCAGAGCCCGAGACCCAGTCTCTGTTCCAGGGCATTTCTGGTGACCCTGCCTCCCAGGGCTCCCACGCGCAGGGTCATGACAAAAGCGGGCGCCCTGACTTTGGCTGTAAACGTGTGGGTAAGGAAACCCTGCGGCAGGTCCGGAGCCCGGCACGAGGACAGTCATCTACACGGAGTAGCCGGGCTGCGTGGGGTCAGCTGACCATGGCGCCCAGGGACGCCCCACGAGGAACAAGTGGCAG